TGCGTTGGCCATTTGCAGAGTCACCCGAGGGTGACTCTGCAGAGCCCACCATAGACTCTCTATGGTGGGCTCTGCAGGATCACCCTCAGGTGGGCTGGTCGCACTCCTTACCTCCTCCGTCGCCGGGCCCTGCCTCCTTCTTCGTCACCGAGGCCGCCTCCTCCCCTGCTGCCGAGCACGGGCCCGCCTCCTCCACTACCGGTGACGTCAGAGGCTCGCGACAGGGTAGAACACCGGGTCCAGCCTGCTCCCTCGCTGCTGCTGGCTCTCATTGACTGTGGAGACTAACGCGGCCCTGCACAGATGATCTGAACAGCGGCGTGTCCGCCTGGGTCGCTATGGTGATTGTTACACCACTGTATGTAGAGATATCTCCTCTAAACTGGTATCAACCTATTATGCGGAAATTATGGCCACTAGATCTTCCAGATTTGATAAACCTAAACAAAAATGGCAGGCACTTATCCCAGACCTTGATATGGATGATTGGAGTGATTTTGAAAATATATATATGCCTGTTGTGATTGCCTCCAGAATATTGCAAGTGATTTTTTTAAATCAGATTTAATATATCCTGTCCTATATACTTTGGGTCTCAGTCCCAACCCGCAGTGCTTTAACCACTTCAAGACCAGGTGTTTAGACCCCCTTCCTGACCAAGCCATTTTTCAGTGTTCAGCACTGCAGTACTTTGACTGATGTTTATTCCAGCCAAGTAGCGTTATGAGCTCTCAGCCCTGTCGCTGTCAAACAGAGACTCTACGTTTGACAGCGACAGGGCTAAGAGCTCATCCGTTTCCTCGGTCAATCCACTCGGTCTTCTGGAGCTCCACCCACCAGCCAATGAGAAGATACCTCACCCCTCCCATCCACCGCACGAGGCTCTCAATCTGGCTGGGAGGGCGGAGTTTACCTTCAGACGCGGATGCAGACGTCGGCGGCACCAGCTGGTCCTTCATGATCTGCTTTCTTCTGCCAGCTCCCGCCCTCGAGAAGCGGCCTTCATATTACTGGTGAGTGGCGGCCTTGTGGAGAGCAGTGGCGGATCCGAGGGGGGAGGGGGGGGATCTAAGTGCTGCTCCAGAGTCCCGTTCGAGAGTCCCACTCACTGCCTCTGCCACCAGCAGGTCCGGCAGTGTAGTAACAGTATGACACAACTACATACAGCTGTGCCCCTCAGTGTCACAAACTTTACTGCAGTTCATTGTAAAAAAAAATTTGTACAATGAACTGCAGTAAAGTCTGGGACACTGAGGGACACAGCTGTATGTACCATCGCCGGCAGCCACATCCTGCTGTGTGGGTCATCGTGAGGACCCTCTCCTGTGACCCCTCCCCTCCACTGGCCACCAAGTCTGCAGGACAAGAGGTGCTGCAGCCTTCAGGTATTAGGTGAGGTTGAGGAGTGAATGGGTGATGGCTGGCTTGGGGGGGAAAGGGGGACTGTAGCCAGGGGCATATCTGCCGCGAGGCAAACAAGGCGTTTGCCTCGGGCCACAGATTCCAAGGGAGCGGTAAGTTCTCCTTTAACTTGAATGGGGATAGCTGACACTTGTAAACTCCAATTTAGGGATTTCTGCTGCAGTAAAACGCAAGTTTCTGATGCAGGAATCCCTAATCGCAACTAAACCTTCATATATGAATGGGCCTTATTGTGTGTATATTGGGGTCTGGAGTACCATATCGCATATAGTTAAATTTTATTTTGTCGAGTGGCCCCAGAGACAGAGGTGGGGGGCGAAGGGGACAGAGACACCGACGGAGGTGGGAGGCGTCACAGGAGCTCCAGTCGGGCGGCGAAGATGACAAGGAGGCTGTGTCGGGTGCAGAGGATGAGGAGGACGTCCAGCCGGGCGCCAAGGAGGCCGTGTTCCCCAGAGGTCAGGCCATTCAAGGTAAGAGGACTGTGCTGGCAGAGCCCAGCAAAGATTCTGCATAGCCCACCAAAGAGTCTAAGGTGTGCTGTGCAATACGCTGTGGTGGGCTCTGCAGGGTCCGGAGGGGGCTTTGTTGGGTCTCAGGGGGGCTTTTCAGGATCCATAGGGGGCTCTGCAGCCTGCAAAGCCCACCACAGATCCTGCAGAGCCTTCCTGAGATCCTGCAGGATCTGTGGGGGTTTTGCCGGGTCTCAGGG